TTGAGAATGCATACAACATAATTCCTTTTCTATTAAGTTCAAATGCTGGCATACTAAACCACGTGTTTTTAGGGATATACACTTAGGCGCTAAGTATAAAGAAAAGCAAGGAATAATAAACACACAACTGAGGCTGTGGTTACCTCGGAGGGTGCAGGGAAGGGAATGGGACTGGTGAGGAACATGCGTCACTAAGGTAACTCTGACTCTTTTTTTTCCCTGAGCTAGGAGATGGCTACACCAGTGTTTGCTGTATTGGTGCTCTTTATATCTTGCTTATATTTTATAAATATACTTTTTATCTACTCAATCAATACTTAATAAAAACAATATGAAAGAATTTTCTGCAGAGAATCTACCACCACCAAGTTCTGGTTTTGAAACTCTTGAAGACCAGCTGTCCCCAACCTGGCCCTACTCACAGTACACCACCCCCCTCCCCAGGAGCCTTACCTTGGCGGGGTTGAGCGCTGTGATGATCCACACACAGTGTGCATTGTTGTCATATTGAATGGGGAAATTGGGGGAGGTGATGATGCCCGAGGGGCCTCGAAGGTGGGCATCACACATGCGGGCTGCAGAGAGGAGACGGAAGACAAGCCCTTTAGCTTAGACTAGGTCCAGTTCCCCTTCCCGCTTCCCACCCCCAGCCCTGAAGACACTGAATCTGTACAGTCCCAGCTCAGACATAACCTCTGCTTCCCGCATCCTTCCCCCAGTTCTCAGCAGGCTTAAAAGGAAGTCACAGTGCCTGGAGCATTGGGGTATGGATAGGCCCCTCATGCCCTGTCCTGCTGCTCTGTAGGCAAGGATCAACTTCCAAGGCAGGCTAAACAAGCCTCTTGCACCCCCTGCCCACTCCTCACACTGTGGAGTCCACTGCGATCAAGCAGCTCATCTTTACCAAGAGGGTGTGAGCTGGTAACACTCATGTTGAGTCCTGGCACCTATGCGCCTGCTAACCACCCCACCCCTTGCTCTGCTGACTTGTGTTTCCCTATTTTCAGTCCAGTTCTCCAAATCAGCTGAGGGCTGCTCTGGACCCAAATCTGCTTAACTAGAAGTATGATCTCATTCCAGATCCTTCCATCCCTCAATGCCTCTCTCTGTGACCCCCTCAGTCCTCTAGAAATAAAGTCTCAGAAGTCCTTGTCAAGGCCACCCCATTAGGTCTCAGAATGTCTGTGCCCAAGGACTCTGCCAAGGCCCCTGACTCAGCCCAGTGCTGGGCACCCAGAGTGATTTCAGTGCTTCCCACATCCTTCCCCACGCTCAGCTCATACTGAAACAGGCTTTTGACTGGAAGTATAAAGATTCAAGGTGAATCAGAAGAAGTGCTCTACTCAAGTAGATATAAAGTGTTATCAATCACAGCTTAATCTAATTAAGCTCTTTAAAATAGCTTCTACACTAATTAGATTAAGGAGTGATTGATAACAGTTAAGGTACTACATTGTACCTAGGTGTTTGCTTTCTCTAAAAATGCATGCTTTTAGTTCTAGCCACTTCATTCTTCAGCGTTAGTGCTTGGCTATTTTAATAAAGGGTTCTATGAGCCTGTTCTGTTGCTGCCCACATGGCAATTTATCCTAATTGTAGGCAAACTGCCTAACAGTAAAGAAATAGTGAGCAAACTCAACGAGCCTAAGTATATAAAATGAAAGTGGTGTCAAACCTGGTTTCCTCTGACGGGGCCAAATATCTGGGATTTCCTCTCCACGTGCGGACAGGGCCAAGACAAACCCTTCCCAGGAAACCCTTCCTAGGAGGATCTGGGAGCACGTTCCACAGCTCCCAGACATGAGACATAATGAATCTCTTCTCATTTCATGCACTAACTCCTGCGCTCATTCATTCCAATGTTTACTGAGTACCTATTATGGGCCAGGCAGGGTGTGGGGAGAAAAAACTGCCTGTCACACTCCTCCTCTCTGAAAGGCCATTTACTACCAAGCAGAGCAAGTGTCATCAGAGGTTTGTTTGCAGGGGGCTTTGGGGTCAGATTGCTCCCTCCTCTATGTTAGCTCATCACCCTCGGGGAGGAAGTGCCTTCTGGTGGCTCACCCCAGTCCTGCACCGGAAGGATCTGCTTCTCCCTCTTCCTGAGCTCCAATATGAGTGTAGCTGAGTTTGAACAAATCCCTAGGGGAGCTCTCCTCTCCACTCCGCTCCTGTGCATCCGATCGCTCCTTTAATTCTGTGCTGAGGAACACTTGGACTTGCAGACTGCACTTGATACAACTGGGCCCTAGGGTAGTGTGGCGTGGTGGAGGAGAGGACAGAACTTAGCCCTCTGGATCTAAGTCCACTTGTGGTTGTTTAAGCCCAGCAAGGTTAGAAAATCTTTCTGATTCTGTTCCTTCATCTATAAAATGGGGCGAGTCATACCACCTTACTGAGATACGGTAATGATAAAATTATATGGGATGATGGATGGAAGGCTCACCCAGGGCCTGGGCCTCTGTTAATATTCACCAAAGGGGACCTGGGAGCCTTAGCTTACTTTTTCCCCATGCTGCTTGGGCAAGATCAGGGGTTTTTTGGATAGACTTCCCTCTGAGCAGCCAGCTCCTGGGGTCCCACCAACAGATGGAAAGCTCATCACTGTGACCCACATGGGCTGGCAGAATGGCAGGTGCTTAGATCACGTCTGAATAACTGAATAAATGTATAACTCCCAATGTCATGTTCATTCCGTGTCTCTATGCCCAAGATCTTTCTCAAGGCTAAGGGTCTTTTTTCTTTCTTTCCTGAAGATTCTTTATATAGATTTTCCCCCAGACTACACTTGAGACTGACAACATTACTAAACAAATTAGGGTAAGATAATCAAAACCAAAACGATGATCCCATCCCACCTTTGCAAAGAGGACCCGTGGAATCAGAACCCTAAACTTGCAGAAAATCCTTACAAATCTCCACGAGCACCATCTTAACCTCTTCTGGAAAGTCAGATTTGCTGCCAAAAGCCCGCAGCTTCAGACTCAATTTATCCTGCACTTGTTTCCAAGAATTAGATGGTATTTGAAGTCTGTTAAAACATGCTGAAGGTAATTAGAGAGAACAGGTCAAAAAGACATTTACCACTTTAAGGGCTGAGAGGGATTTAATTAAAATATTACAGTCTGCAGATAGTTAGCATGGAGCACCTTAGAGTAGGTTCAGAATGGAGGCTTAGCTTATTTTTTCCCCCCCAGGCTGCCTGGGCAAGGTCAGGGGTTTCATGGACAGACTTCTCCCTGAGCAGCCACCTCCTGGGGTCCCACCAACAGATGGAAAGCTTGTCGTTCTGACCCAGATGGGCTGGCAGAATGGCAGGTTCTCAGATGATGTCTGAATAACTGAATAAATGTATCTTTATATTTCTCCATTTGCCTTTTCCCATCAAATGCTCTTCTGGATAGCTTTTGGGTTCCAGGCCTGAGCTCTGCAGCCACTCCTCCTCTTCCCCTGGACATCACTACACCATATACTGGGGGACAGTACTCCCAGCAGACTGTAGGGAGATGCCACCTGGACCTACTGCCAGTTCTGGCACTGGAACAACTTGGCACCAAGGAAAGGAACTGCTCCAGGTGCACATGCCTTTGGTCTCCTATCTTCTCCCCAAATCTTATGCCCAGCCTGTTCCACGCTGTCTTCCCTTGCTTTTCCTACTACTGTTCTCCCTCCCTGTCCTTTCCACAGTCCTCTGGAACCACCTCCCCACCACCAATGCTAAGGTGAACAAACCCTTACTTGTAGCTGCAGCGTCTTTCAGAGCCTTCTGTTCCAGCTCCTGCCTTGATTGAAGCCCGCCTCCCCCTGCCCAGGCCGCTGCTTCTTCTGCAGCCCTCTGCAGTGGAGACCTTGCTCCCACCCTCCAGTGTTTCCTTCCACAAATGTTTGCTGAACCCCCAGAAGAACTCATCTTGCCCAACTGAGACTTCCACTCTGCTGACACCAATACTCTCTCTACTCATCAGTCCCCTCTCGTCTTTTCTTCTGTCCTTATCCCACTTGGACCCCATGATCCACCATTATGACCATTTTCTGGCAAATCTTCCCAAGCCCCTTGCTTCTTTTTCCTTTAATTAGTTGCCAGGAAGACATCAATTGAGGATGGACCCCTCCACCTGCATTCTCCATACCTGCCCCTGTAGAGTTGAGCTTTGCTAGAAAAAAACCCACACGAGGAGGAAGACTGATGTCACTATAAATTCATGGTTACTCACCTCAAAAAAACTCTAGGCATTACCCAGCGATGCTACCACTTAGCTCTGTCAGCTCTCTCTCGTTCCGCTCAAAGACCTTTCCATGCCTTCCACACGCCCCTCGGACCTCTCCCTCTTCCCCTCGCCTCCTCTTCCCCTCAGTTGATGACCTTCCCTCACTCCTTCTGGAGGAAACAGGAGCCATCCGGCAGACATACCCTCTCTCCCACCCCCAAATGTGCAATCCTGTCTGCTTAGGTGATCATCTTCTTTTTCCATCCTATTCCAACAGAGGGTTGGCTCCTTCTTTTGCAGGCCAACCCCTTCTCATGAGATTTGGCACCTAAGCCCTCTCTCCCTCCCAAGGTCAACCATGTCCATGGCCCGGGGCCCTGCTGTCCTGAGAACCAGGAAAGTCCAGCTCTCAGATTTTAAACTTAATCATCCCATTCCTTTCCCCCCTGCCCACGCTCCCAGCAGAGTGACTGTGGTCTCGATGCACCTATTGTCCTGCATCATAGGCCACTCCAGCCCTCTGGTCCCCATGTTCCTTCCCATCTATTGATCCCCCCCGACCACTCTTTTTTCACTACCCAGTCTGGACCTCAAGGCCACTCACCAACACCTTCAGATCCCTCAACACTCTCACATCTCCCTGGCCAAACACCTGCCTTCAATCAATTCTACCATCCACCTTTTCTATTCCTAATCTTGATTCATGGTTTGCCATCATAGTTGAAAGCTCGGCCCAAGTCAGTCCTCTCCCCTGTTTTCCTCCAGTTCCCTCAACAATTCCTTGCAGAGACACCTTCAAACATTCAACAATGGAACCCCACTTAATCCCAGTGGTTACTTTTCAGTCGTTACTGTACTTGGCCTCTTTGGAGTATGTGACCCTGCTGTTCCTTCTCTCGGGAAACTCAGATTCTCTGGCTTCAATGATGCCTCCTGGCTTTTCTCTACCTCTCTTATTGACCCTTCTCAGCTTCCTTCTTCTCCATCAACTCCTTAAAAGTAGTTGTTTAAATCTGGGTAAAGGGTATATGTAAGTCTCTGCACATTAATTGCAACTTTGCTGTAAGTTTAAAATTATACCAAAATAAAAGTTATCCCAAAAGTGGGGGCAAGGGGGGTTAGGGTGGTTAGTAATCGAGGGGGAGTTGTTCTATGTTCTACATGATTCCATCTAATATATTGACTCCAAAGGATGTCTAGGTGCAATTTTCATGCAGAAGTAGGGTAGAGCCTTTGGAGGCAGGGTTTGAAATTCAGCTCAATTGATTACTTTTGTGCCCTTGAGCAAGGTGGCTGCCCACTCTAGCTTCAGCTAAACATAAAGTATGGTTATTTCCACTTTCCTTACAAAGAAATTATGACAAATGCCTAGTGCAATGCTTTATGCAAATATAAATAACTTAACAAATGGGAGCTTTATTATCAGCACGTATAAGTAAGGACTCAGGGACACCTTCAGGGCTAGAGCAACGGGGCATGTATTCTAATGCAGTCAGTGTGTGTCGTCTAGGGGCGATGAGTAGAGAGGAGATGGGAGGAGACAGAGAAGAGGAGAGGGCCGGGGAGAGGAGAAGGTGGGAGAAGAGAATAGAACTTTGGATAATGACAGTGTTTACAGGGTTAGGCCCAGGAAGCCAATCCAGTGAAGATCACCGAGAAGGAAGACAGCCACCTGTAATTACCATGGCATTTAATTCAGCCTAGTTTGTGCCATATTTCACTCCCATTTTACAGATGAGGGAAAAGATTGAGAGCCTTTCAGTGATTTTCCCTGTGCCATTTGGTTTTTTAATAGCAAAGTTGGAACTTGAACTCAGGCCTTTGAGTCTCAAGTCTGATATTCTATCTACCAAAAAGGATTTTATTCCAAACAGATGCATATATATATATATATAATGATTTAACCACAAAAATAATATATGGTTTTTTTGTTTTTATTTACTTTGTGAATCAGTAACTGTAAGTATCTCATCTGGGGTTGGTACTCTGTCCCTGTCCTCCATCAACACCAACTTGTGGTCAGAAGAAACCAGGTCTCCTGGTTGTTAATTTGGTCCTCTTCACTATACCAGTGGTTTGCAACCCAGTGTGCCCCGAAGCCCCAAGGGTACCAGGGCTTAGGGGCTGCCGAGAGTGGTGAGGGATGGAATGACTTCAAATCCCCTGACCCTACCTCAATCAGAGAAGCTCCACTTGTGTCTGCCTTATTTATAGGGCTTCTGCAAAAGCTGATTTTTAAATATTAGGTTCCATGTGTAAAATAAGTCTGAAAAGCCCTATAACATACCACCCTACCTTTACCTAGGGATGAATAGAATTAGTTTAACAGTGTTTTCACATTACCCTCAATGTCCTTTGTGTAATCTAAATGTTCTAGGAGTCAAATTAGAAGCTTATTTCTTCTGGTAGGAGGGAAAGAAAAGAAAGCTATGTGAATACCTAATTTCAAATTCCAAAATGAGGACTCAGTCCCATAGTTTTCATTCATTTCAATCACTGATTCATTCAGGGGGTCTTCAAACATTTCTAAAGAACCTATTATTTACCAGGCCTCATGTTTTAGTAGAATTAATTGTGTGGAAAGATGAATGTTTAAAATCAAACCGTATTTTAAATGCATTAGAGGAAAAATAATACCATCCTGTATGGTGGCAAATTCTTTTTAGAATGTGATCTTTTGGTAAACTGCTTGTTAGTGGAGCTTCTTGGAATTGAATTTTTCCCTTTTATTCTTAAAGTGGGGTTCACCTAAACTCTCCTAAAAATCACAATTAGAATTAGTGTGAGGGGTTTTCAAAAAGTTTATGGAAAGATTCGTATTATCTTTTAATCCCATTTTTCCACATACTTTTCGAAGTGCCCTTGTAATTCCAACTAATTAAAAACAAAACATTTTAAAAGGAAAACTTTTAAAACTGCCTGAATAAAGAGACCCTTGAATCTAATATCTCTCTCAGCCCTTGACCTCCAGGGAATCAGGACAGGTCATCCGAATCCAAACCTGGGAGTCTCAGCTTTTTCTTTCTCCCTCACAATGGCCTCTGGGAGAGGTAAAAAAGAAGGAGAGGAAGGTAGGTAGGTGAACCTTCCTGAGAATCCACTCTCCACCACAGTCAGTGTTGGTCACTTTCTATAAAATGACTTGTTCAAATTTCACAGTCACTAGGCAGGGGAGGTTTTGTTTTCCCTGTTCACAGATGAGGGCCCCGTGGCTAAAAAAGATGAAGGAACCCACCCAGGGCCAGCAAGCTAATGGGTGGCAGAGTTGTGACCTAGATCAAAGTCTGTGTGACTCCCCAAATGTGCGACTGCATATAATTGGACAAAACAATGAGGAAACAGGCTTCTAAAAGAACCCATGGCCACTAGAGGCTGAGGTTTGCTCTGGGGCTGAGGAAGTTGTATGCCGACAGCGCTCATGTGTGCCGACAGCGCTCAAGTATGCCGACAGCGCTCATGTATGCTGACAGCGCTCATGTATGCCGACAGTGCTCATGTATGCTGACAGCGCACATGTATGCCGACAGTGCTCATGTATGCCGACAGCGCACATGTATGCCGACAGCGCTCACGTATGCCGACAGCGCTCATGTATGCCGACAGCGTTCACGTATGCCGACAGCGCACAAGTATGCCGACAGCACTCATGTATGCCGACAGCGCACATGTATGCCGACAGCGCTCATGTATGCCGACAGCGCTCATGTATGCCGACAGCGCTCATGTATGCCGACAGCGCTCATGTATGCCGACAGCGCTCATGTATGCCGACAGCGCTCATGTATGCCGACAGCGCTCATGTATGCCGACAGCGCTCATGTATGCCGACAGCGCTCATGTATGCCGACAGCGCTCATGTATGCCGACAGCGCTCATGTATGCCGACAGCGTTCACGTATGCCGACAGCGCACAAGTATGCCGACAGCACTCATGTATGTCGACAGCGCTCATGTATGCCGACAGCGCTCATGTATGCCGACAGCGCTCAGCAGTTTAAACTAAGCATGTGTGTGCATAAGCTTCACAGACCCACTGGCATCCCTTCTAAACAAGCACTTTCAAACTTGCTAAAAGAGACCAACTGAGCATATGCAGGACTAGGTTAGGTAACTGGAAACCACCGCTTTAGTTGACTATTCATCAGATAGCATGAATATGCATATATAGCGAAACTATAAAAGTTGAATCCAGAAAGAAGGTGGGGCTGCTGCTCACTCTCCTAGAGCCAGCCACACTTTGCCTGAAGTGTGTATTTCTTTCTTTTTGTATGAAACTTGCCTTTGGCAGGCTGCTGTTCACTCTAGAGCCAACCTGCACTTTGTCTGTGAATGTGCATTTCATACTTTTGTATTGAACTGGGTGTGGGTCCTGCTCAGTCTCTGGAGCTAGGCAGCACTCTCTCTGTGAAATCTGTCTCGCTTATTGGTTATATTAAACCTGTTCTCTTTCTGCTATGACTCTGCTCTTGAACTCTTTCCTGTGGCAGAGTCAGGAACCTCATAAGAGGACGCAGTGGGCTGAGGCTGGCTGTCAGACCTCCCCAGACCCTCTCCTCCAGCATCGTATAGAGCTCATATTCTAGCAAGTGGATGTTTGTTTTCCTTCTAGCACTTCCCAACTCATGAAGTGTTTACACATTCACAAGTCCTGTTTGATCTTCACCTTACATATAAGAAGGGGAGTGTAGCTACTATTAGCCACATTTATGGGGAAGAAAATAGAACCAGGGAAAATAGGTGATTTGGCCAATTGCTAAGAGTTATACCAAGAATTCTTTTTCTGTCGTTTGATTTTTTTTTAAAATGGTAACTATATAGAATCCTTGAAATAATACAGCTAACATCAGTGGAGATGCAAAGTACATTACAAATTCTGGATTATGGCTACGTCAAAGTTGAGTGAGGATGAATAAATCTGAGGCTGATTTAAAAGATATTTTCTTGACACTTTTCGAGATTACTTATCAACACATTAAAAAAGAGGAGTGGGTTTCAGCTCCAACTTTGTCCCTTCCTCAGTATAATAATGACCTACATTATTTTTCCTGGGCCCCTCTTGTCCTGCATGAATTTCCTCTTGGTGCATATGCCTGAAGAGAGGCCAAGAATCTCCTTCTCAGACTAGAAGGGTCCAGAATGTCACTTTATAGGGGCAACATACCCTCTCTTCCAAAGGGGCACTCAAAAGAGCACCTGTCGGCTTTTAAAGGCCATCTAACAGCCCAGTGCTCAGGGGTTCTCCTTGCTGGTGCCTGGGGAATGAGGTTAGAGGCTTCTCTACCACAAAAGTACCTGCTGTTGGCCCCAATGAAGGGATATATTGAGGTCTGAGATTTTAAGATTATTTAGGGGGTGAGGGCTAGGCCAGCCCAGCCACGGTTCGGGTGATACCTGGGAATAGGGTAGCAGGGCCCTTGAGAACAAGATGCCCTTCTGTGGGGTTAGAAAAATCCCACAGAGAAGCCTTTTGATAGCATGGTCCATGTCATGCATAACTTCAACAGTTCTTTCGGAAGTGACAGGTCTTTTTACTGCAGAGTGTGGGGAAAGAAACAAGGGTAATGGAGATAGAGACTTTGGGATGCAAATGTGTCATAATGGAGGGATTCAAGGTGACAGTATTAAAGGTGACTTCCTTTCCTATCCAGGTGTGGTTGTGACATCTTTGTGCAATGAGCTAGCCACGTGATCCATATGTGCCTTCCCCATTAGACTGTAAGGTCCATGCAGGGGAGGGCAGGGTCCATGTCTATCTTCCCCACCCCTCTATGTCCTGATCCTAGTACAGGATTGATAGAAAGAAGGTGCTAAATAAATATGTTAATTAGGAAATAAATGCAGGCCCAGAGCCCCAGAAGCAGCAGGGAACTGAGGTGAGCCAATCTGGATAAGAGCCTAGGCCTCAGGCGCGGGGAGCTGAGCTCCGTCCTGCACACCTGGCCCAGCTTTCTGGCCAGTCTCTCCTTTCCCCGGGGCACCCTCACCTCGACAGACTGGCCTGTGGTCACTCCAGGCCGCAAACATGTCGCTCACTTTCATACAGGTGATCCGTTTGGACCCTTGCAGGTCATAGCCTTCGTTGCAGGTGAACTGGACGCTGGATCCTAACCTGGGAGACAAGGTGTGTTCGTGAGCTCAATCCCTGGACCTACCAAGCCCCGCCCCGAGTCCTTCCTTATTCCACAAAAAAGCACGACATGTAACATTATTTCTCCTTCTGGCCCTTAATCTTGGCTCCACTGTTTCATCATTTAAAATCTACAATGGAAGGAACATCTCTTCATCTTCTTTTTTTGGCTCATTTAATGTTTTTAGGATTGAGTTAAAAGGTGACTTTGTGAGCAAAACAGCAATCCTCTGAGATAAATATAAGTTAGGGCAGTTAAGAGTGGGTGAATGATACCCATAAACTTTAATGAAAATGGAGGATTATGGGAAGATGCCTTAATAGTTAGAAGTGTTGCAAAATGGACCATACTGGGGCCCAAGGGTCTCCTAGATTATCACAGGCCGGAGTCCCCTGCTGGCACTTCATTGCCGGGGATGGCAGCCCTTTGTACCCTGGGTATGTGGGTTTGCTGGGTAACAACAGCAGTCTACAGTCCCCCCTGCCCCCCATAAGGCATGGGCACTATTCCAAGGACTGGGCTAGGACTGAATGTCAAAGGCCACAGCTCTTCTCCAGAAAGTGTCTGTTTCTACAGCCATGACACTTTCACCATTCTACCTCCAGGAAGGCCAGCCCTTGCCTTCCCCCAACCAGGCCACCCCACCCTTCTTGCAATCAGCAAGTTCCCAAATAGATCTTACCTGAAATCCGAGCCTAGTCTTTTGCCCCTTTCGGGTATGCCAGGGTCTGGACACATATTATGCCCTTGGGACACACCAACCTGAGTTACTACAAGGCAAAAAAACAGTACATACAGAGATGGATAGTCACAGGAGGGCACCAGCTGGGCAACGTCTTGGGGTGGGAGGTGGAGGCAGAGACAGAATGAGGCCCTCCTCCACTGGCTGGGGCTGTGTGCGGGCCCTGGGGTCCATCAGCCCGGGATTTCCTGAGTGTGGAAGGTGGGGAGCTACTTTTGACAAATTCCTTTGCAAGCAAAGTCCAGGTGAAATTCATCAAGAGCATGTGGACTCAGAGACAGGCCCCCACACCAACAGCCACCCAATTCCCTCCACCCCCACCAGCAGCTAGAGGGGGACTCTCCACAGCCCCTAGTGACCTCTCCACCCTGTGCTTCAGATCCAGGGGTGCAGACTCTAGATGAGATGAGCCCCCCAACTTCAGCCCCAAATGGAGAAATGACTCAAAGAAAGTTAAATAAAAGGTGGATGCATGATCAGAAACGGTAAAGAATGTAAGAGAAAGCTGCAGTCTGAAGTTCAGAGCAGGGACATTTCTTATGAGAAACCTCTTTCCATTAGACACTTCTCAAGCCAGCGTAAGCAGTAACCAGAGCACCCCCACCCCGTCCAATGCCACTGGTCAGGGGCACCCAGCAGAGATGGCACCTGTGGTGGTTCTGGCAGGTGGTGTGTCACTCTGACACTTGCCAATGCCAGAGTCCTGTTTACAAACACCAGAGGAGAGCTTGGTTGGGGGCGGCGGACACACGCACAGTGGAGAGGATGGACAACGCTCCGGCCCCTTCATTGTTCTCGCGTGCTCATGGTGATGAGGCGGGATCCCCTCACACCTCTGGAATCCTGGCTTTGAGGATGACCAGGAGCTG